CAGCTTGACTTCGGATATTTTCTCAGACTACTGACATGTCATACAGTCCTATGATGCTGGGCAGCCACAGGTCCCAGTCAGTGATGCAGTCACAGAGGAACCCACCAGCACTGTACAGTGTAGTATTATGTTAGCATTTTTTTATACAGTTATCGAGTGGATTACCTGAGATATTTAACACTTTATTATAAAATAAATTTAGATGATTTTGCCCACATGTAGACTAATGTAAGTGTTCTGAGAACTGTTAAAGCAAGCTAGACTACGATATACTGTTAAGTAGGGTGAATGTAGTTAGTAAATTTTAACTTAGGATATTTTCAACTTATGATGGGTAAGTCAAGGAGCATCTGTCCTTCATATGTGCTATGCTTTTTCTCTTCCTTAGTCCCCACCCTTTCCTTTGTGCCCCTGTGTCTGATGCTAACTATAGCTTGCTGGTTTTTGGCCAGCCAGTGCTGCCAGTTTTCTAATGCTTGCCTCACCTGGCTCCTATTAGGCATTTGCCTCTGAGATCTTTGATATTTATAATCTGAGTGACATAAGAAAAACATCTTTAAGTATAAAAGTGGCAGTTGAAAATGTATTCGGGTAGAATTCTAAGATTGATCTTTTTGCTCTCACTGGTGGCACTGGGTAATAAACCCAGGACCTCATGTTTGCTAGGCAGATATCCCCAGCCACCTCAGAATTTTTTAAATGGTCTATTGCCGAGTTTCATAACCCTGGCACCATTGACACCCAGGTGAGGTAACTCTATTGTTGTCCTGTGCGTGTAGAATGTACAGCAGAGTCCTAACCTCTATCTGAGAGCTACCAATAACACCTCCTTCCTCAAGTGCAAGTGTCAAGAATGTTTTCAGACGTTGCTAAATGTCCCCTGAGGGACAAAATTGTCCCAGTTGAAAACCACTAATCTAAAACATACTTCTTTCTTTCTTCTTTTTTTAAATAGACTTTATTCTTTAAAGTAGCTTTAAAGTTACAGAAAAATGGAGTAAAAAGCACAGAGTTCCTATGTGGCCCCTCTCCTTCCTCACACACTGTTTATCCTGTTATTAACATCCTGCATACAAGAGTGGTGCCTTTGTTACAAAAGCCTGTAGATAAGCTCGGGTTTACTCTTTGTGTTGTGCTGTTCTAGGTTCTATCCTCTGGGCAAATACATAGTGTCACCATAGTATCATACAGAATAATTTCACCACCTTAAAAAAAATCCCCTGCACTCCATCGGCTGAACTAGAATGGTCCTGTGGTATTCATGGAGAATTAGCTCTAGGGCCCCACTCCTATGCCAAAGTCTGCAGGTGCTCAGGTCCTTTGTATAAAATGGTGTGGCAAAAAATAAATAAATTAATAAATAAATAAAATTTTTAAATGGTGTGGCATTTCAATAAACCTACACATGCCCTCCCATGTACTTGGAATCAACCCGAGATGGTTTATACCTAATGTAATGTAAATGCCATGTAAATAGTTATTACTGCATTGTTTCCAGAATAATGACAAGAAAAAAAGTCTGTATGCGTTCAGTGCAAGCAAAATTTTTAAAAACTTTTCAGCCTGTAACTGGTTGGGTCCATAGATGAGGAAACCATGAATCAGTAGGGCTGAGTAAATTTCTCTTTAAAATAGTGAAACTCTCCTTAAAACGTCCCTAAGCCACTTCTCTGATAATACATGTTGTAGCTGTTTTTCAGTGACTGATTAGTACAAAAAAAAGTCTCAGTGAATAAATATTTAGTGTTCTTTAGAATGCTGGCTCATGATTAACCTCTGGTAATTTATTGATTTATTCAGCTAGTATTGTTAGATAAATAATGTCATATAACACGTTATCAATTGGGTAGGTTCTAATGGTGTAGAGTGAAAATTATTCTTGAAAATATTGGAGAATATGACATGTTGAAAACTGAAGTTTATCTTTCAAAAACTCCAACACAGCCGGGTGTGGTAGCACATACCTATAATCCAGCACTCTGGAGGCTGAGGCAGGAGGATTGCTGTGAGCTCAAGGCCAACCTGGATTACATAGCAAGACCTTGTCTCAACCCCTACCCCCAAAAAACATCTCCAACCCAGGTGGGATTTCTCTCCCCTTGAAGCATACAACTGTTTCTCTAGTTACACTCTAAATCTGGAAATTGCTTGCATTTAGCCAACTTTCACTAAGTGCTTAAATGCTAGAAAATGCTTGTGATTTGGGGGGCACAGGACAGAAACCATCTTAAAGGGCAGGAGCGTCAAGTCTCCCACTTTGTACTTATTTCTCAGTGTGAGCTTTTTGAGTAGAATGTGGATAAAATTTCTCCTACACTTTCTCCCCTTTCTTTTTTTGTCTTGACTGCTTTTGCGGAAAACTCCATCACTGACAGTTCTACACGCTAGGCATACAGTATAGATGTACACATCCTTGTTCAGTGCGTGAGTAAAATTGTGATACATAGCAATTTCGTCTACTGAGATCTTGATTGCCGCAAAATTTACTATACCCAAAGCCATAATGGAACACTAGGTTGGATTCTTGGAATGCGGTCAACTAAATCCAAAAATATAACAAAGTATGTGTGGTTGGTGATGATGAAAAAAGTGTTGTCCTTAGTTTGTCACTTTAGAAAATATACATGTATTTACCCTTCAGAAAAACCAAAACCACTGAGCCAGCTTCTGTTAAAAGTAAATGGGAGGGCCGGGGATTTGGCTCTGTGGTTCTGCCGCCAGCCTCGCAAGTGCAAGGGCTGGAGTTTGATCCCCGGTACCAAAAAATAAAAAAAATTTTTAAAGGTAAATGGGAATAGCAGGGGAATGTAACTTGGTGGTAGAGCACTTGCCTAGCATGCATGAGGCCTTGGGTTTCATCCCCAGCACTGCAAAAAGGGCTTTGAAGGACAGAACATAGGAGAAATTATTAAGAAAAATAAATATTAATTGTGGGAGTTGACAGTTGACCTTTAATAAGAATAAATTGGATCATAGTCTATTTTGATTTTCCGGAAACCCAAACCAGTTTCCCAAGATTGTCAGTGTTATTAAGGCAAACCGCTCAAATTTCAAATGAATAGAGAGATTTATTCTTATGTAAGAACAGGAGCCAAGTGACTTTTTATTTCCTGCAGTAATTTAGAAAGCTAAATCTTTCACCTAAAGGAAGGGTCCACAACCCTGGTTTTAAAATGTAACATTGACAGGTGCAAATCACAGCGTCTCCATGACACACACTCTCTCTTTTCTTAGGAAAAGAGAGTAAATTATGTAGTCTGCTCAGTGGGCTCACTTTGTTGCCCTGTGGCATGGTCAGGAAGGTTGGTGACAAAACCAGAGAACAAACTTCCCATAGGCATTAAAGGAGAAGCACTTTCACAAGCTGAGGAGAAATGGGAGGGAGCTGGTTCTCGGGGGCAGAGTAAAACATGGCCAGGCAGAACTCATCCAGGGGCCATGCCTGGACCCCAGGGTGAGCAGGGTGGAACGCTTGATCTGAGTGTGGGTAAGTGCTTTGGGGAGAGATTCATCTTGGGGTCCATCTACTTCAATATCATGATCCCCTTTGGGCATACCCAGGAAAACTAATGTAAAACTGCGTGTAGGATGGATTCTGAAACTTAATTTGCCACTGTTTTTATTTGGCCCTTGGGGACGGGTAGAAGCGGGGCTGAGCCTTCCCAGAAACCAGAATGTTCATGTTGACACTTTAGGACACTTCCCTGGAGTCTCTCTGGTAATGAAATAATACAGTGGTTAAGAACATGGCCTTTGGAGGGCTGGGGGTATAGCTTAGTGGTAGAGTATCTGCCTAGCATGTGCAAGGCCCTGGCTTCCATCCTCAGATCACCTACACACACACACACACACACACACACACACACACACATGAACTTGGGGGGCAACCAGACTTCTTCTGGCTCCACCAAAGGGTTGCAGTGAAACATGGAGACTTAGACTCTCTGAACCTCACACTTTCACCAGAAAAGCATGGGTAAGAATATTACTCTGCATGGGAAGGCTACTGGTGAGCTTTCCATGAGGAAAATAATGTCCTAAGCAAAGTGCCTGATGCTTGTAAACTTTCCACAGAGGGTGGCAGCAATGAGAAGAGGTGGAAGTAGGGAAAGGAAGAGTTAGCATTACGGTGTGTGAGTAGCTTCTTCTTGGGTTTCTCCAAGGCCTTACAGATCTCACAGTTACCATTGTTTCCTCACAGACTGTCCCCTCCAATACTGGGAAACAGTAAAAGTTTGTTCTCATACAGTGCAGGACCATTTATAACCGGCTTCATATTACTTGTTCTTTCTAAATTTCATAAAGAACACACCTTTTTCTCAACAACTGCTGTCTTGCCATTTTATAATTAGAGAATGGCAGAACTTTACAGAGGATACATTTTAGTTCTACTGATGCAGTTTGAAGGGTATCTTGGGTTTCATCAGACAAACATTCCAGTCTTCTTCAGTTTCCAGGGATTTCCACAGAGAGGGCCAACTTGGTCCGTCGTATTTGGGAGGCTGGTGGAAAACCAACAGAAGGGCAGTAGAAAGTTCTGCTACCATTGCTATGTTACCAAAACCATTTTACTGCAGTGATATCTATGGAGAAAAATTGGTAATGATATGTGACAGGTCATGCGATAACCTGTATTCCAACATGGTAAATGTTATGTAGCCACTAAAGATAAGTAAGGAGATAGAACATAGAGACATGGAGTGCACAATGAAGTGTGAAGAATGCTGTATAAAAATGCAGTATGAAAAATGCACAGTTCTAATCACGTGATACAATAAAAGAGATACATACAGCAAACATTATAACTTCAAGGTACCGCTATATGTCTTGCTTGTCAAATCTGAGGGCTGTCTCTCCTTAGAGCTCAGTACCTTGTGTATTAACACTGTAAGAGATCCTAACATTCTATAAGCAGTTACTTTTCAGGTCTCATTCTTTGGGTAAGCAGCTTGGGTAACTTTTTAGGTAAAGGTGCCTGACACTATATTGTTTCTTTTCAGTGATGAAAATGCTAGGAAAGATTTAAAGACATTGCCAGCCTTCCCGACGAAAACTCTTCAGGAGCACCCTTCCCTGGCATACTGGTAAGGCAGGGGCCCTGACCTGGGAGCTGTCAGGACATGTCGGGGAAAGTCTCCTGTGGAAACTCTCTGGAGATTGCTGTACCAGGTCACGTCTTGTGGGCTGGCTGTGTGCATCTCCCTGAAGTGTGTGAGCTGCCCGAATAGCGTGTTAGTTAGGCGAACTGCGCTCAGGTCACTGTGTGACTCACTCAGCCTTCCACTAACAGAACATGGTGTGGTAATAACACAGATCTCCTTGGCCAGAGCATTCCTTAAGGGCCAGAGGTTTTCTCTGCTACGGCATACCCTAATCTGTTTTAAGTTGTTTCAGTTGTTTGCCTTTTAACAAATCTATCATTCTCATTTCACATCCCCTCTTGGTTCCTAGAAATTACTTTTCTTTCCTCCCTTTCAAATTACTTATACTTCCTTTAAGTATAGGTTTCTTGGTTTCAGTCTCCACATCTTGAAGATGATTTCCCAAAATAATGCTGAGATATAGCTCAGTGGTAGAGCATTGGCCTAGCATGAACGAGGCCCTGAGTTCGATCCCTAGAGCCACATGCAGAAAAATTACAAAATAAAAATTCTAAAGTATCAGACATTGAAAGCTTTAACAGGAAAGTTCAAACAGGTTTCCCAAATGTATAGTGGAATTGAGTGCAGGGGCCCTGTTGCATCCTAACTCTTGACCCTTCTGAACAGGTCGCTGGGGTTTTGTGTGTGTGTGTGTGTGTGTGTGTGTGTGTGTTGTTTTCATTTTTTGTTTTGCTTGTTTGAAGGGGGAAACTGGTGACTGAACCCAGGGATTTCACACTGAGCTGTATCTTCACCCCTTTTTTATTTTTTATTTTGAGACAAGATCTCACTGAATCGCCGGATTGCCTAGGAGGGGCTAAAACTTGCATGCCTCCTACATCAGCCTCCTAAAGCTCTGGGATTACAGATCCCCTTTGCTCACCAAAGAGGAGGCCAGGTCTTAGGTTCAATGTTCTCCAACAAGGATTTAATATTTTTACTTTGTACTATTTTCCAACCAAGATACTAGTTTTCCACCTGAAAAACTGATCCTGTCTCCTTGTGTAGTGAATGATGTCTTTTAAACATAAATGCGTTCCATGTAAATAGATTTAAAGATCATAATGGAGGCAGTCTAATTGTTACTGGGTAACTTGCTTCTGAAAGTGGCTCACATTACTGAGCTTTGCGTTGCTCGCCTCTCCCTCTGGAGTTAGATTTCAGGTTCTTCTCCTCTCAAAGAATTATGGAAAGTTATAATAGCAAGCTCTTCATAGGATCCTTTATACTGTCCAAATGCCGAGGAAACCCTCGAGAACTCCATACAGATCCTGAGAGGTGCTGCCGGGATCCCTCATCTCTGCTGATATCAGGTCCAGAGCATCCTATTGAAAACTGATTGAGTTCTCGGGAGAAGTCCACATACGGGGCCTTGGGACCTGTTCTGCGCATGTGTCGGGGGTGTTGTAATCAACAGGTCAAGCCTACTTTCCTACACAGCTTTGTCATGCTCTAATCTCCTGGCTCAAAATGTTTGAAATTCAGAAATCCATGTCCTACAGAAACGAGAGCTGGGCCGTACTGTGTCCCCCGAGCAGAGTGGTGAGGGCCTTCTCTCTCAAGTTTCTAGCGGCTGCCTGAGAATCTGGAAGTGGAGTCTGTACCTCAGATAATCATGGGTTGCTGTGCTTTTTATTTCCTGTTTTACAGCGAGGACAGGGTGATCGAGCATTATCTGAAAATCAAAGGTCTGACTCGAGGACAGGCTGTGGTTCAGTGAGTATCTTTGGTGCTGTTGTAATGTTTCCACCAGAAGTCGCTGAAATAATTTTTTGTTGTGTGTGTTTTTGTTTTTGGTTTTTTGGGTTTTTTTTTGCGCGCAGAGTTAGTTGGGAAATGTCTTAGGTTCCACATTTTGGTCCTGCAGCCCTATCAAAACAGAAACAGGAAGGCGGTAGGGAATGGTAAGGACTGTGGGGAGAACCAGAGAGCTCTCACCGCACCTAGAGGTGGGTTTACTGAGCTTCAGAGTTCAGGCCCAGTGATGCCAGAGTCTCCAGAATTTTCAGAGAAGCTCCAAATTCAGTTTGCGATTCTACTTTAGGTGGAGTACGTAGCATATTGGTGTTTATTAGTCTGTTTCTTCATGCTTCAAAGAGCAAACTAGAGTGATACATTTCTGTATTTCATGTTTGTAGTGTTACCACAGACTTAAGAACCGTTCACTTACCTAGGCTTGGTGGTCCTTTCCTGTAATCCCAGCAATCTGGGAAGCTGAGGCAGGAGGATCCTATTTTCGAGACTAGCCTAGACAACTTAGTGACTTAGCGAGACCCTGTCTCAAAATAAAAAATGAGCTGAGATTATAGCTCAGTGCAAATGAAGGTCCTCTGATCAATCCCCAGTACGCCACCAAGTAAAGAACTGTTCACCTATATATCACACCTCTAAAAATGATTTTTAAAAAAATCTAATCAATTTAAGTACATTATTATTGTAGTAATTGGAGAGTAACTTTTGTGGCCATAGAACTTAAAAAACAAAGCAAGGGGTAGGGGATTTAGCTCAGTGGTTCTGCCACTGGCTTTGCAAACACAAGGTCCTGAGTTCGATCCCCGGTACCAGAAAATAAAAACTGTTGCGTCTAGCACAGGACGTGTGAAAGCTGGAATAAAGACCAATCACCCACCTCCTGGCCCATGTATGCTCTTTCCTAACTCCCCTGCTTTGCCCAAATCTCGTTTTTGTCGTAACACACCTGCCATGATCCTCGGGGCAGAGGTCGTAGGTCAGCAGCAGTCCTTGAAGCCTTGACAGTTTAACTCGTGACACCTGTTTCCTGGAGTGATGAAAAAAGCAGGAAACGAAGGCGGCACAAAGGAAAGAAAGGTGGTGACCCTGAAGGGTTTGAGCAAGGCTGAGGCACGTATCACAGTGTCCCTACTTCAGTGCAGTCGGTTTACGTTTGCTTCCCTTGATCACTGCTGTGTGGGCTCCAGCCAGAAACTGTTTAATGCAACTGTTAGGACTCCGGTGTGGACTCCAGGCCATTTACACAGAGGCCATTTGCTTCTCAAAAAAGGATTAAGTTATTGATTAATGTGTCCAGAGAAACTGGTCTTCGGAATGTCGTTTCAAAGTCCACTTGAAAGGAACAAAGACCCTCAGTTCCGTGAGGGCAAAGGGGAGTCTTATACAAGCCAGACCACTGCAAAGCCTGAAAAGTACACAAGCTTTGTTTGTTTTAAGACAAGTTCTCACTACGTAGCCCTGACCTCCTGCCTCGGCCTCCCAAGTGCTGGAATTACAGGTGTACGCCACCAGTCTCAGCCAACAAATACTTCTTGAATTAATAATAGCAAGTGGTGGCATTGTTTTGACTTAGTTTTTATTTTTGGAATATAAATCAGGTTTGCAACCATAAAGTTCCCCCCTTTTGTTGTTTGTTTGTTTGTTTTGAGACAGGGTCTCACTATGTAGTTCAAACTGGCCTTGAACTCACTTTGTAGCCCAGGCTGGCCCGCAACTCGCAGTGATCTCCTGCCTCAGCCTCCCAAGTGCTGGGATTTCAGAAGGGGTGCACCACCATGTCCGGCTAAATCCACTTTCTGAGAGTGTATATTTCTGAGAGTGAGGACAGATATTTACAGTTATAAGGCTAATCACAATTGGTCATGGTTAATATATGGAATAAGTGGAATAGCTTTTTCTTTTTTTTTTTTTTTTTT